ATATGGCTAAAGTTGCGGCATTTTTTTATTCTCCCTTTTTTTTTGAAAAGGGCTCCCTAACATGGAGTGGACTTGTGAAGGGTGTAATAGACAAATGAAGCAACATTCTAAGCGCTTTAGATAATAGCACAGCAGAATCAAACGATTCTCATTAATGGAAATTTATTAGGCGTGGTAAGAATAAGAATAGACTGGGATGCACTTTAAGATGAAGTGCAAATATCCATTATGACTAAAATAGTATACTTGTATAAACATTAGAAGCTTTAATATGTATGTTTCTTACTCGTTAATACATTTATTAAGGCTCAGAAGGCGGCCATTTAAAAATAGTCGAGAAGAAAATTCACTTCGACCACTCTGTCGGATAGGCTTGTTAACGGGGTCATCACGCACACAGTGAAGGTTCTAGCTATGGTACAGAGAACTGATTCGCCGGCTGTCTTTAAATTGCCGAGTTGAATGCATCTCAAGCAACTTCCCACACTTGATCAACTCAAGCGTTTCTTGTTTAAGAAAAGTGATTTCAGTATGATTCCAGTACTATACCTTTTTATAGCGACTTGTATGATCAAAACTTTACGCATCGCGTGAAGATAGCAGCCCACGAACCTCTCCAATTCAAATTACCATCACACATCAGGTATCAATCTTTATCATTCATTATTGTAACGGGGTTACACATAACCTGGTAACAGGGGTGTGTGTCACACGAGATGTGCATGGTGTGACTACACCTAAACAAGAATACGATATGTAGCTAGGTATCCAGTAGTTATGCATGTATTTAGATTTTACTAAATATGTATATAGTATATTTAGGAAAATCTCACATTAGGAGAAAAAGTAAATAAAAAACAGTTTTAAATTTAAATCGAAGAGTCAATTAGCCTTGGGAAGGCAATAATTACTCTTGGAGTAAGCGGATTGCGATCCGCTAACTCATACTTGGTTCTTGTAAAAAGCGAAAGGTCGTCTAAAGTACGCTTCCTCAAGCGCTAAGCTACGGCAGCCCTGCTGCACTTGGTAGCACTTGTAGTCAATCTACACTTAAGTCGTTTCGACTGAACCTCTGTGAGGATGGAGGAATTTTCCTCTTTGCCCCAGGGCATCCAGGACGGGATTAATAAGCTGATGTCCTTGCTTGGCCCTGAAAGCGTGCAACACCTTGTAGCACAAGGCCCCGAGGCAATCGGTGCACGTCCAGAGGCGTTCTCAAGTTACGAAAACGCGCTGCTAGAGCACTTGTACCAGAAGATGTTTGCATCGTTTGCATCCATGACGCCACCGTCAGTGACGGATGACTTCCTCCGACCTAAGCCGCTCATGGTGCGCGTTAAGGTCTTCGAGGGGGAGGATGGAGAAAATCTCCTATTCTGGGCGAGAGAGACCGAGTTGGCCATCGCATCCGCCATGCTCCAGACCGAGCAACAGCGCGTGGCGCTAGCCATCTCCAAACTCGGTGGTCGAGCGCGGAAATGGGCACTGACGTGCGGCACTTCGGTCGAAGCTGCGTTTCCCTCCTGGGAGGAGCTGAAAATGCAGCTTTCACGAGTGTTCTAGCCGCCTAATCACGCATATCGCGTACGATCGCGCTTCCTTGTTGCCCTGTCGGACTCTCATTGTCGGGATGGCAGCAGATCCCCCCCAAAGGCGGTCACAGTCACCGTCTTTATGAAAGGCCTTCGCACTGGCGTGGCCACAATGGAAGTCTTCCGTGTGCATCCGTCCTTGTTTGAAAAATATGTGGCATTGAATGCCGAATTCAATCTCAAGTCGGTACGATTTGGCTGGAATGCACACTCCAACAGCTCGTCGAGCTGGCCTATGCCTATGGATCTCAGCTATGCTGAGGACGAGGGAGCAGAGCTCCGAGCTGCCGAGCAGCCTGCACACATTCGACGGTGTTTTGTCTGTGGAGACATCCGTCACCTTCGGAGCAGTTGCCCCCTGTGCAAAGCGCTTCAAGGTTCTTCGAACCATCGCCCCAACGCCTACCAGTCTGGTTCGTCGCGGGGGAACGGCACCACTCAGTAGGCGCGGGGCGACCTACTGGGGAAGAACTAAGTTTTGTTGAGCCTCAGGGAGGCATAGGTCAACAGGGCCTAGCCCCTAAAAGCTCCGTGCTCTTGAACACGGAACGTGTGTGCAAGCCGGGCTTGCTGGTCGTGAAGG